TCCCCTTCCCTTTCCCTTTCCCTTTCCTTTCCTTTCCCTTCCCTTTCCCTTCCCTTTCCCTTTCCCCTTCCCCTTCCCTTTCCCTTTCCCTTTCCCTTTCCCTTCCCTTTCCCCCTTTCCCTTTCCTTTCCCTTTCCTTTTCCTTTCCCTTTCCTTTCCCTTTCCCCCTTTCCCTTTCCCTTCCCCCTTTTCCTTTCTCCTTTTCTTTCTTTCTCTTTCTCACTCTCTCTTTTTTTTTGTGCTTACACAACAGACACACATTTTCTCATAGTTCTAGAGGCTGGACGTTCAAGATCCAAGGTGCCTGCAGTATTGGTTTCTTAGAGGCCTTTCTCCGTGGCTTACATGCAGTCTCCTCACTGTGTCCTCAAACGGCCTGTCCTCTGTGCCTGCCACAACTTCAGTTTTCTTAGTAGTTTCAGGATTATTCAAGTTCTCTATTTCGTATTGAGTAGGTTGTAGTAATTTGTACTTTAGAGGAATTGATCCTTTATACATAAGTTGTCTAATTTATGTATGTGGAGTTTTTCATAGTTTTCTTATCCTTGTGATGTCTCTAGAGTCTATAGAAATCTATCCTCATTGCATTCATTCTTGATACTGGCAATTTGTGTTGTCTTTTTTTTTTTAACAGCTTGCTAGAGGTTTGTCAGTTTTTATTAATCTTTTCAAAGAATCAGCTTTTCCTTTTACTCAATTTTTCTATCAGTTTCATTGATTCTGTTTTTGTCTTTATTTCCTTCCTTCTGCTTGTTCCGTGGTTACTTTGTCTTTAGTTTTCAAAAGTTTGGCTAACATCTGTGTATTGGTGTGTATTTCTTTGGGTTTATCCTGTTTGGCATTCATTCAGCTTGAATATATAGGCTTAAGTATTTTGCTGAATTTGGGAAATTTTAATCCATTATTTTGTGAATTTCTTTTAGCCCCATCCTCTTTCTACTCTCCTGCTGGGACTCTGATGACACGAATGTAAGGTTCGCCGTTAGTCCCACGTGTTCCAGAGACACTTCATTGTTTTGCTTCTGTTTTCTGTTTGTTATGTTCTAATTGGGCAGTTTCTACTCTCTGTTCATGTTTACTGATTCTTTCCTTTGTCATCTCCATTCTGTTAAGCCCATTCATTGAATTATTTATATTGTATTTTTTTAGTTCTAAAATTTTTATTTTTTGTATCTTGATATATAAAAATTTAAATATATAACTATATATTTTTTACTGAGATTTTCTGTTTTTATGGTGGATATTTTCTATTTTTTCATTTATTTCAAGTGTCTTCATAATTGATCATTGAAATGTTTTTATGATAGCTGTTTTAAAACCCTTTCTAGATTAATTCTAACATCTTTTTCATCTTGGTGTTGGTGTTTTTTGTTGTCTTTTCTCATTCAATTGAGATCTTCTGGTTCTTGGTACGATGAATGGTTTTTGATCAAAACCTGGACTTTTTATTTCTTATTTATATATTAATAATCTTTATTTCAAAATATTAGGGGGTACAAGTGTTCTTGTTACATGGCTGAAGGCTGAAGTCAGGGCTTTTAGTGTGCCTGTCACCAGAACAGTGTGCATTGTACCTGATGTGTGAGTTTTTATCTCCACTCCCTTCCCGCCCTGCCTCCCCCTTCTTAGTTTCCCGCGTCCTTCACACACCTTGTGACCATGTGTACCCGTTGTTCAGCTCCCACTTACTAGTGAGGACATGTGGTAAAATCTGGACATTTTAAGTAGTATGAGACTCTGAATCTTATTTAATCTTGTGTTTTAGCAGACCTCCTCTCGGGGAGCTGCTTTATCATTGCCAGGGGGAGGTGGAAGTCCAGGCTCTCCTCTGGGCCTCGGCTGATACCCAGGGCTTGCTGTGGGGGGAGGGGCGTTTGGGAGTTTAGGCTCTTACTAGGTCTCGCTGAGACCACCCTGTCTGGGAAGGGGAAGGGCTCCTTCTTACTGCTCCCCAAATAGCCTGTACTGATGCCACGGTTGCCACCGAGTGGTCCTGAAAGTCCTCACCCTCCAGGCCTCTGCTGATGTCATTCCAGCGGGATGGGAAGGGGTACCTTACTTTTGTTGGTCAGAGGTGGGGGTTCTGGCTCCTCACATGGTCTCCACTGACACCAGGGGGTGAGGTGGGGCTGTCTTGTTTCCATCTGGCAGGGGTGAATTCTCAGCTTCCCCTCAGCCTTCTCTGACAGCTCTGCAAGGGTGCCTTGTTACTGCTTGCTGGGCAGGAAGTTCAGGCTTTTCACACTTGGCCTTTGCTTGGTGGGAGTTTGGGTGGGGCTGCAGGTTTTTCTGTGTTGTTTGCCTGGAATCGAGTGGTCGTTATATAAAGATGTTCTTTGTGGCTAGGTTGCCCCGTTCCTTCTTAGATTCTTTGGTAGGGAGAACAGGCTCTTCTAAGGCCTTTTTAGTGTATATTTATTGGCATTTTCAGGTTGCCAACTTCTTCGTTACCTAGTCTGGGATGTATGAAGGAAAAAGGAATCCCAGGGACTAAACTGTGCATCTTCTCTTGGGTCCTAAAGTTCCTGGCCAGTCTGCCTCCTCTCCACCATCCAGTCTCCTTGTGTCTGTTTTGTATATAACGTCCAGGGATTTTAGTTGTACTTAGCAGGAGGAATGGGGGAAAGAGTGTCTCCTCCATCTTCCAAAAGCAAGAGTCTTGTCTCCTGTGTTTGTAAGATGCCAGGTTTAGATGCACACACATATTTGCTGAGCCGCAGCTCCCTTTTCTCTCCGTATCAGAGCGCTTGTCATGCACGACATCAGTTGTAGTCATCTGTACGTTTGTCTGCTCCCTCTCACCTGTGAGCACATACGGCAGCCAGACTGTGTCTGAGTATTTCTCAGCACGTGTAGTCATTGGCTCAGGCAGTGGAGGTGTGTCTGCTGCCCACTGCCCACTTCTGGCAGTGCCCTTTCATAGGTTATATGGCCAGAAAGCTGTCAGTCACCTGCCTAGTACCAGACCTCAGGCATCCTCATCTTCTGTTTGCTGCCTGGAATTGCTGAAATTGGGCTGGGAGGATTCTGCTTCTGGCTGCCTTCACCTGGAGAATACTGGTTTTGGATGAATCTTCTTATCACCTGGTCCAACCTGATCATTTTACAGATGAGCAAAACAGGGCCCAGAGTAGCTAGGTGGGTGACTCACTGAAGGTCAAGGTAACGTAACAACTGAATTGAAATCCAAATCTCTTGTAAGTCCAGTTTTTTCTTGTATTTTTCTGCCTTCTTCATTTTACAGCCTGAAGGTGGACTCCAGTTGTAAGTATTTGTTTAACCTTAAAGAAGGACATAACCACACTGTCGTGCTTTTTTTTTTATTATTGACCATTAAATGTTACCAATTACAGTCTGGAGACCCAATTTTAATACACTGTCAAGGGTTTCAATATTGTCTTTCTAATGGGCCTATTTCTTTTCAGCAGGCATATGGCTATGGTCCATACGGTGGTGCGTACCCAGCAGGAACTCAAGTTGTGTATGCCGCGAATGGGCAGGCGTTTGCTGTGCCCTACCAGTACCCCTATGCAGGTAACCGCGCCAGCCTTCCCTTCCTCTTTGCTCTTCATTTACTGGGTAGACCAGTGAGGCCTGTAAGAATTTTTATTTTTCAGTTTAAGTGAGCTAAGTTTTCTGATAATAGACCACAAATCATTCTATTACTATTTTTAAAAAGAAAAAGATATATAAGCCTTTTGTTTTTACAAAGCTAGAGTAGGCTTGATTTTTAGAACTTTGTAAGTGTTTTTAGTGATTGTATATTATCATATTGGGTAAGGTATTGAACCTTCCAGCATCGGCTGTTTGTTTTTTTCTTTTCCCGTTTTTCTTTTTTTGTTATGATACTGCTGTGAATATCTTTAATCATATCTTTTTTATTTCTCTTAAATATGTATTAGAATATGTTTCTGTATATGGACTGTTTCCAACTTAGGATCATTCAGCTTAATGATTTTTTGACTTTAAGGTGGTGTGAAAGCAATATACGTTCTGTAGAAACTATACTTCCAGCACCCGTATAACCATTCTGTTTTTCACTCTCAGTACAGTATTCAGTAAATTACTTGAGATATTCAACACTTTATTATAAAACAGGGTTTGTGTTAGTTGATTTCGTCCAACTATAGGCTAACGTCAGTGGTCTGAGTGCATTTAAGGTAGGCTATGTTAAGCTATAATATTTGGTAAGTTTGGTGTATTGAATGCATTTTCAACTTACGTGGGTTTATCAGGACATAACCCCATTGTAAGTCAAGGAGTGTCTCTGTTAAATGGATATGTCAAAGGCATAGACTTTCTTTTGATACCATCAAAAACCATTAAAGATCTCTGCATTATTTTGAGGGAAATCCCAGACTTTATGTCACTTCATCTGTTAATAGTATGATATGTCTTGATAGCATTTTACCAAGTTAATTCCCAGAATACTGTACCAATATACAATGCCATCAGCAGTTGGTGATATATAGTTTTCTCTGTAGTCCCATAAAGATTGCCTATTGTGATGTTCTAAAAGCTTTGATAGCTTCAGTGGGTTTCAAGTGGCATCATCGAGCTGCTTTAGTTTACATTTTTAGGATGGCTGGCAAGGATAAAGATTGTCTTTGTAGTTGTTCACTAATTATATTTCCCCTTGTGTGAATTATTTTTCTTTGCCCGTTTATCTGTTGAGGTCCCAATGGTGGTGGTGGGTTTTTAAGCCCCAGCCTTCCCACATGAGAGCCAGCCTCTTATTTAGTTTCCTGTCCACAGAATGGGGAGATCACTGCTGCTTTTTACTGTATAGAAGAGCAGAAGTATTGCAGAAGTAGTTGTGCAGGGGATTTATGGAAATCAGATTACATCCTTAGCCTTGACTCTCCTTAATCGAGTAGAAATCACAGTCTCAAGGGCAGCACTTCTTATGCTTGCTGCCTAAGGGGCTGAGTCAGTAGGGGTTGTGGCCAACCAGCAGATACACGTGCTTTGGAAGGGCCGAGCTGGTGGTCATCCCGCCTCAGTGTGGTGACCAGGCAGCCCCCACACCTACTTGCCGTGAGGGCTGAGTGGGTTTGTGGTCGTGCCACAGCAGTGTTGTACCGACCACCAGATGGGTGCTCATGTCTGGTGCTTTGCCACCTCCAGGCTGTCCTGCCTGCTGGGGTCCCACTGCCTGTAGCTCTTCCATAGGCGCCCTCCTAGTTACGCACAAAGTCCTTCTGTTTAGTGTGACTAGGACCAGTGGTCGGTCAGCCAGTTGGAAAAGTACAGAGAGTGCTGTGTACGCCTGTAAGTGTCCTGCTTTAATTTAGCCTTGTGAATGGACATCCGGTCAGCTGTCTTTTGCTGTGGGGTTGAGGTCTTCGCTTTGAGTTGGCCCCTTTCCTTGCAGTCTTCCATTTTTGTCTTCTGGAGACCGTCCTCCTGATCCATGATTGCACTGCAGCGTCCAGGGGCAAGTCCACAGCAGACTTCCAGGTTTTGTGGTGACAGCATCTCTTTCCCCCGTCTTTGTAGTGTTCTCAATTCCGTGACTCGATGGTAATTTGTAAAAGTGACCTTCCTTTATTTAGTCTTTCCTGTATGAAGTCTCTAACTTAGTTGTCATAGGAACAGTATCTGCCTTTTTCTCATTCACATTTCGACCATGTATATGTGACACTCAGTTCAATTGAGTATGACTGAGAAGTGCCCACACCTGCTTCGGTGAGGATTTAGCTCACGGTAGGGGCGGAGGTAAGTCAGCAGGAGCCACAAGAGAGTGGTCCCTGGTCCTGCAGTGAGGGGACCGCAGCGTGACCTACGCAGGGAACCCAGAGTTTAGATTTTCTAGGGGATCTTTTCCTTAGGTCAGCTTACAAGTTCCACTGTTGGAGTTGCATAACTGAACATTTTTAAATTTCGAGGTTGTGAAAGTGAATGCCACAATTCACTAGTTTTGAAATTTAAACATTGCATCGAAAGTCATTTACTTCCATTGCTGTTACTGTACCTGACCTGCCCCTAGATTAATGATGGTTTCATTCTGCTACTCTGTGCCTTTGATTTTTTCTGTCTCCCGTCATCCTCTATTGTGTTTGCGTATTAGTGGGTATGAGTGTAGATTGTAGCCAGAGTGCCTTGGTTTGGGTGCCCTTCTTGCCCTTAGCCTCTGTATGCCTCAGTTTGCCCATCTGCAGAATGGGGATAAGAATGTACTCAGTGAGTCAGTGTGTACATGCATGTGATGCTGTGAGTGCTTAGAGTGGTAAGCACTGGGAGCGTAGCCTCTGTGCCACTGCTGGTTTCACCGCTGTGCTTCCACTGCATGCGCATATTATTAATGGATCAGTTGCTAGCTCTCCTATGGTTGCACCATTAAAGGAATAGGGGATCAAGAGGGAAAGTTAACCCTGGCGATACGTGAGAGATTTGCAAGCCCATTAGCTACGGGGCAATATAGCTATGAAGCATAGAGAACATTTCCAGTTGTAAATTTGAATCATGCAAATTAAATATTAAATTTGTTTGAAGTTTGCTCTTTTAGAAGTTCTCACCTCTAACATAAATATTTATTTTTTTCCCTGTGAAAACATGTGATTGAAAATGAAGAGCAAGTTATATTAGCAGATTTAAGTTTAATTTAAAAATTGGTTTGTATGAACACCAAGAAGCTAATTTGCTTTTAAGTGGGCTTTTGTTCTGTGGGCTTTCGGTGGGCGTTCTTGGCTCCCGTTGTCTGCACACCGTGTATCTCCCGTGCCCCCATCTGTCTGCCGTCACAGCGGGTGTGCAGCTTCGTCAGGCTTCTGCTTTTTGCCGCCTTAGGGACTTCGGCCCTTGGCCAGCTGAGGATCTTGATTTTTCTCCCAGTGCGGTCTCAGGGATGCAGGCCACGTACTGTACCTGTGGTGGAGGAGGGCGAGGGCAAGCTCACCGCACCCCCCACACACCGGCGAACGGTAGACAGCTCTGTTGTGATCAACACGATTCGCACAGCTGAGTGACTGTTTTTGTGTGTGAATGTTGGACTTCACAAACTCTCCTCAGAGGTCTGTTTTTTTCTTTCTTTTTTAGGACTTTATGGACAGCAGCCTACCAACCAAGTCATCATTCGTGAGCGGTACCGAGACAGCGACAGTGATTTGGCGCTGGGCATGCTGGCCGGAGCAGCCACGGGCATGGCCCTCGGGTCTCTGTTCTGGGTCTTCTAGAGGCCCCGAGATCTTGATGTGCATAGCGATACCCTGTGTGCAATAATAGTACGATCTGCAGGGCATTTCTGTTCGTGGCAAATGTTTCTAATAATAGTTTTAATAGTTCTTTTGAAAGTAGTGACGTCATAATTGTAACTAGTCCATGTAAGTATCACAGAGGAGGACTACACCGTTTAGCTAAAACATGACTCTTTGGGGGCATTAGCTCATTCTAAGACTTTCCTAATGGAACTCTTGGAATATCTTATTTGAACATACCTGTTTTGAGAGGCATTTTCTTTTTAGCTTGTAGTGCTTAAGGGATAATTTATGTTTGTGTTGTGCCAGTAATCTAGTGATTCGTGGGTAAATGAGTGATCGTGGCAAGAAAAACAGCTTTTCATTTAACTTCAGACCTTCAAACCTCAGGCCAGAACTGGCTGCATGTCACCTTAGGAGCGGTGGGCTGGTTAGCTCCCGGCAGCTTCCTGAGGCAATGATGTGAGAGCCCCAGACCCACCCTCTGGGCTCTGCAGGCCCCAGCAAGGCTGACGCTCAGGCTGACAGGGAGGGGATAGCCCCTCAGGGAAAGGATGCTTCAGAAACCTACCTAACCCTAGCGCTTATTCTTGTGTTATTTTTGTATGTTTTTGGTAGCGATAATTGGAAAGCATCCCAAGTTAGGAATTGATTTGTGCCTCAAAGTTTTAGGGCTTTATCCTTTAAAACTTGAAGAAGGCAGAACAATAACAAACAAGTGTGTGGAGGTAGATTTGCTTTATTCAGAGACGTGGTTTTAGGTCTGTTTTGGGTTTTTTCCCCGCTGCCTAAGGCTACTACTCATAGCCGATTTTTCTACGTGTGAGAGAGTGATGTTAAAGGAATGGTGAGGGAGATGGCGGGAGGGCCGTGGTGAGAATGTTCCTATTCCAGGCCTTCTGGGACTTCTAGGTGGAGGATGCTCTTCTGTCCCACTGAAGGACTGTCCTGTGCCAGAGTGTGGCCCTGTGGCTGGGACGAACCATAGCAAGAAGACTCAGGTTGTAGGGAAATGAGGCCCAGGGACCCTAGGGACATGAGGGACTCGCTTAGAGCATCCCTCAGCTTGGCTGGGACCCCAGCTGTGTTGTTCCTGACCCACATGTGATAGAGAAGCTTAGAGCATTCGCTTTTGAGCCCCAAGATGTGTGTATCTCTGGAAAGTCCATAGTCTTGCCTTTCTGTCGAATATTCTCATTTCCAGTATTAGGAAATTCCAAAATTATGAAGTATGTATTTCAAGTATTCACATTTCTGTCATTTCACATTTCAAAGCTCCTAAAGACTCCGGTTTTCTGTCCTGCATGCTGTGAGCAGTGTACTTTTGCAAGGGCAGTTTAGCACCGTGAATGTGTCTCCTCATGTTCCATGTGGGCCCATTTTTCCCAAAATACGCTCCAGGTGGCACCGACTCTGCTTTGTTTTGCCTGGCTGGTTACGTGATTCTCTTGCTGTACTGCCCAGTCGGCTCCGTCTCTGAGCACTCACACGGATCTCCATGTGAAACCGGATGCCAGACGAACTATGTGGTGACCCCAGGTCTGTGTTCTCTCCAGTCGTAGGGGTCTTGTTGACTTGGGAGTGTCTGTCTCCACCTGGAAGGAATGTTTTTACCTGTTATCCCCGGATAGAAGCAGTGTGTGACAACACCAGTGTCCGTGGTTTAACGTGCTGTTTTGAGGATTTTACATCCTGTGTAATGAGAATGGCTTGTTCAGATTGTAACCGTGGCCAAAGCTGTACGCTCTACTTCCAACCTACTAGCAGTTTTCATGTTGCATCAAGTGTTAATTTTGAGCTTGGAGTTACCGGGTGGGAGTCACGGGAACCAAAGGATGTGTAGTTAACGTGCACTCGAAGCAGATGTCTGCCTGTGCTCTCCTGGTGAAGAGGAGAGGTACGGATGGAAGCTTGGGTGCCTGTGTGTCCCCGTCCCCGTCCCCTGTGGGGCCAGCCTCGGTAACGGAGGCAGTCACAGTGGGGCCTGGAAGTTCCCTGTGAGCAGCGACGTGGGCCTGGTGGGACATGCACACTGGGGGTGCGGGTGGGCTCAGATCGTTTCCTCGCCACAGCTCCCATAGATGCCAACCTTCCGATTGCCTCCGTTTCTCAGCACCGTCCTTTGTTAAGTGCGTGAGTTGGAAGACATTTCTTGTTCATGTCTGAGTAAGCGGTTACTTCCACGTGTATTTTTAAATAATGATCCGTACTTGGGAGAAGTTGGCCACTGACGTTGTACACAGAGCTGATGTGATCTTTTAATCCCTTGAGTTGACTTCACAGTTTTGGGGACTAAAGAGAAGAGGGAGACCTATGGTTAATGTCTCAGATTGTCATTCAGAAACAAGATTAGACCTTGTTCTAGGCCATCCAGGACTAGGGTCGCCATCTGGATCACGAGAAGAAGGTCCTGCAGTTGAGGCCCAAGTGTATTGTCCACATCAAGTGTTGGTCCTGTGTAATCTTTCTTTTTCCTTCCCCAGTTTGTGTAGACATAAGGCATGGAATCTCTTTCCAGAGATGATCTTGTTTGTAATTGCTTCCCCATTGCTAGTGTTACGTTGTGTCTACAGAACCTATTTTCCCCTCCTGTATGTGCAAATTGTACATTTATAAGTGAAAATGTCAATACATTAAATGATCGTTAACCTTAAAGCATGTTTCATTGTGACTTCTGTTGTCTTTTAAACGTTATTTTGTAGTAACACACCATCAGCTTGTTCTGCTGCCATGGACCGTAGGAAAGCCATTGATTGAGGACCTGCCAAGTGTGCTAGGGAGTGTGTTGTCACATCAGAAAAAAACAACTCACTCAACTCGCACAGTGACTGCGTTGAGGGCGTTACTACCCACGTTACTCTGGATGAGACTGAGGCTCAGGAGTTCATTTACTCAGGAGCGCACACGTAGCAGGTGAAGCCTGCGTCTCCATCTGAGGTTAAAACGTGCTTTTTCCCTGTGCCATGTGCGTGTGAGAGAGTGATTTCCACAGACACGGGTGGTCCGTGCAGTCACACTGTTAGGATAGCTGTTAGAAAACTGACAGTATTTTCCTTGACCAGATCACCTTGGTGGTGTGTTTCCAGTAACTTCTCTAGTGTCTTTGGACACGTGACTTTATGTTTTTTGTTTCTGTTTTTAAAAATTATTTTAGATTTCCTTTGGTTCCTGAATTACCTCAGTCTCCTCTGGGCTAGTTTTTCCCTCTCACATGTTGCAGACTCTAGTTATGCGGTAGTGTGTGCTTGCCTATTACAGTTTCAGATGGGGAGTCCCACCCTAGGAAGCCGGGTCTCATGGTTTTGTTTCTTTCAAGGAGAATCCTCTGATATTTTACCGCTGTTTCTGCATGTGGGGTGAGAGTACGGGCCACACACGCTCCCCAGCCTGACTGTCCATCTGCTGAAGGCCGGCCTTCCTGTGCCTCTGGCTGCCTCTGGGGCTTGGCTTGTTCTCTAATTTACCTTTGTAAATAGGTTACATGTAGCTCCAAAGTTAAACAACAGAAAAGGAAACATTCAGTAAAATGTCTCTTATCTGCCCAGTTCTACTGATACTGGTCTGTTCATCCTTCATGAGTTCCTTTATGCATAATAAGCTGGTACCTAATAATGAGCTGGTATAAACATAGATTCATATTTTTCTCCCTTTTTTACACAAAAGTATACCATATATACCAAAGTGCCCGACTTTGGTCTTGAGACTAAACTTTGGTCTTGGGGTCAAGGCCCTCCCAAAAGAGCTTTTTAAATGTGATTTATATCTTTTAATATTTGTCATATTGGAAAATTTGAAAAATTGAAAAAGTTTAAAAAATGATAAACCTATTATATAGTGACATTTAAAAAATAGAATTAATAAAAAACACTTTTCAAAACAAAATCAGGCATGGCATTGTTTTCACATTTCGAAGGTTTTCTCCAGTGCCTGACTTAGTAGAAGACAGCGGGCTTCCCGTATCTGCATTTCATCTGTCGTGATTTGGGTTTGGGTTGGGGCATGGGAAGGAAAAATGGCCTCACGCAGCTGTGTAGTTGGAAAGGGAGGAGCTAGTGGGGGTCTGGGACACCCTTGGGTCCTTAGGTCGTACCCTGACGATGCGGATGGGGGTTGGCCTGTGCCTTATTTTTCCCACTTACCGTACCTGAGTATTTCTGTCAGCTCATAAAGGACTTATTCATTTTAATTGTCCCACAGTTTATCCAATACCCTTTGACTTCTGCTATTGCCAACGATGCTAGAATATACAAAAGTCACTCCTCCCAGCACGGGGGCTCTCCAAGGTGGTGTAGAACTGGCGGGTAGCTCAGAGCTCTTGTGTAGTCTGCATCTCCAGATCGCACTGGGACCCCGAAGTGCAGGGCAGAGGCTGACTGCTGTGGTGAGCCAGCCCAGATCTCAGCAACTGGGCGCAGGAAAGCCTTTATCTCTTGTTCAGGTCTGCCTGTTGCTGTTGCCTCACCCACTGGAGGGACAGAGAGCGTGGGGCTGCCTTTACTCACTGCCGGGCACTTACCAGCCATGTAACTTTGGGGACAGCATGGCTCGTCTGCTTTTCCGTCCTCTTTACAACAGGCCTAAGAAGAGAGTACCTTGAAGGATTGTGATGTGGATTAACTGAGTTAGTACAGATGTGAAGAACCTACTAGGGGTGGGGAACCCGCAGCCTTAGGCCACATGTGGCCTTCTAGGCCGTCTAGGTCCTCAAGTGCTGCCTTTTCACTGAATCCAGTTTTACAGAACAAATCTGTTATTAACTGTGCTTGGCACCGCTGTATGCTGAAAGTAAGTGTTCGTGATGACGGCCTTCAGAGGGCAGCAGGCCAGGCGACGGACAGGGCTGTGCCTCAGGCGCGGGCTCTGAGGCACCGGGATAGGCCTGCGCTCGTGCGTGGCTTGCTTGCTGGCTCTGTGACCTCTGGGGCCTGGGACTGGCCCAGCAGGGAGGAGGCCACCCTACTGCCTTGCTCTCATGTTACCTTTTACTTTGGGGGACACAACTTGGCGCCCACCTTGCCAAGGGCTCAGGAACGCTGAAGTCCAAGCTCCAGTGCCCAGGAGCTGCTCAGAAATGCATATTCCTGGGACTGAATGTGCTGAGGAAGTTGGGGGTGGGTGGGAGTCTGCCTGTTTACCAGCCCTCAGGAGATTCTGCAGCCTTGACTGCCCTGCCCTGCAGACATAGCGTTCCTCTCCCTCCCTCCTCCCACCTGGCTGGCGTGCCCTGAGTGCTGGGCAGGCCTCCTCCAGCTCGGCGCAGTGCTGAGAGCAGACACTGGACAGGCACAGCTTCCCTCCCCTTCTGTTGTGCTGCCAGACCCGGTGGGAACGGCCAGGTGCCCTGCACCAGCTTGCGTGGCTCTCCTTGTGTGTCTGCCTGGGAAGTGGGAGTCAGGTCAGAGGTGCCTACCCCGGGCCCCAGGAGAGCCGGCAGCTCAGCCAGGATGACATTTCCTCAAATAGGGTCACCCCAATGGGCAGCAAACCTGGGGTGCTCCTGAGCAGCACCCCAGGAAGGCCCTGCCTGGTTCTTTTATTTACCTGTCACAGGCCAGGTGAGCACCTTGAGTCCCCTCAGCGAGGTGTGCTGGGCAGGGCACCCGTGGAGGCTGCTCAGTCCCGATTCTCAGGAGCTGCCTCACCTGCTTGGTGGGGACAAAGCAGGCCATGATCCAATCAGATGTGCAGCAGGGACAGTTAGGGAGGACTTGGGGCTGCATTGAACTCAAATTTCCATTGCTCTTCTGGCTGTGGACCTGGACAGTGTGGTCACCTCTTGTATGAGGTAGGCACTGGTAGGAGCACAGACCTCTCCGTCCCTCCACTCCTTTCTTAGACTCATGGCTCTGTCCCAGAGCAGTAGCAGCAGCCCCTGGGAACCTACTAGACATGCGGATCACCCAGCAGGGCCAGCCCTCCTGAATCGGGTGATCCCACTGCCAGTTCGACTCTGAGAACCACTGGACTGTGATGGACTCCTCCCTCCTGGACACCCGCCCCTCCCCACACGCCCTCCCACTCCCCTGCGCTTCTCAGTGCAGCGCTGGTTCTGAGAGCTGCCACTGGGTGTCAGAGCAGCCTCAGGAATGTTCCAGCTGTCCTACCTCTTCCCAGGCGGCCTGGGCCCTGCGGTGTCTCTCAGCGCTGCTTGTTCAAGTCTGGGGACTGAGCACAGAAGCAGTGCATGGCTCAGGGTGTGGGCCCAGGTTCAGAGTCCCCGTCCTTGTGCCTGTGCTCCTGCTCCATGGGCTTGGGCTTGGGCTGTGCACCTGCTTCTGGTCCCTGAACCGTTCCCGAGCCAGAAGGGGCACCAGATGGATGAGGTCCTGAGAGGAGAAGGGGCTTGCTGAAGGTCCCCCCGAGCCTGTGTCGGGGGACGTGTTTCCCTGTCCCTTTCTGGCTGCCCAGGGTGAGTCATCTGGGCACCAAATTGGTGCACATGGCAGTGTCCTACAGGGTGGGGACCAGGGCACCCACAGTGCCTTGTAGCGTGTTATGGGATATGGGAGGGACGTGCCGAACTCCTCTCCCACAACTCCAGCTGAGCCCATCTCCCTCCTTCTGCCCCGTGAGGCTTCTCCAGCCGCCACGCCGTGTGTCCCCCTGTGGCCCTGGCCCACAGCCAGCGCAACCCAGCAACTCCCGCCCAGCGGGCGCTGGCAGAGCGCTGCCTGCTGCCGGGGCTGCCGCTGGGCCTCCAGGCAGGGAGCAGGTGTGGAGGCCACAGGCAGGGTGGGCTGGGAGATGTGGAGCCCCTGGGCGGGCTTGGGCAGGAGTGGCTCCAGGCCGGCGGGTCGTAGGGACTGGGAACCTGGAGAAGCGGTTGCGGGTGTGGGGATGACAACTTCGTGGGCCCAGCTGGGGAGCATGTGAGGTGTGTTGCTGGGGTCCACTGTCGGGGGAGGGAAGTCATTTCTGGCGGAGCTCTGGGCTTGGCTGGAGGGACTCCAAGGTGGGGGTGGGGGCAGGGACTCAGGACTGTGGGGTGCGAAGGGTGAGGTTTGTCATGGATGTCCAGGAGGGACTGGCCGGACGCCCGTGCAGAGGGCTGGGGCACGGGGTAGTGAGGGGCATGGGGTGGGGCGTGGGGGGCCTGGTGAGGCAGGAATGGAGGTGCCACGTGGAGGGCGACGGTGACTTTGACACGGTTCGTGGAAAATGGAGAGGACGAGCGGGGCGGCAGGGCGTGCACACAGCGCCCCGTGCCCATTTGGGAGCTCTCCCTCCCTGGAGTCCTCTGGCAGGGACCTGGGCTCTCCTGGGGAGCTTGGGGCAGCACTGGCCCTGAGTGATGGGGTCGGGCTGCGCCCCGCGGGGCGTGGGGCCTGTGGCGCTCCTTCCACTCCTCACTGGCACCCCCTTGCCGGGCGGCCGCTGGCCAGCGTGGAACACGAGGGATCCAGGTGGGCACAGCTTGCCCTCGGGAGGCTCTGCGGGGACACCGCACACCTGGGCTTGTGCAGAGTACGCGAGTGTTCACTCCGCACCGACAGCGTCAGGCCTGCGCCCGGGCCGCCAGCGTCCGGGGTGGTTACTAAGATCACCATCTCCGCTGCCAGGTCAAGTCCGGCCCTGTGTCAGCTGCATGAGTCACCCAGGCCTGGCTGTCGATGGTGCCCACGTGC